TACTCCAGGGACATACGCTGGCATCTCCAACAAGTGTTCATGGGAAGCTGCCTCAATACATGTTTTCTGGTCACAGCCACAGCCGTTCTCATGGCATACTTCAGGTTTTCCAGATGACCATCTCCAACAGCCAACGAGCACACCTGATCGTCCCAGGGCATTCATGTTCATGGGCATACATCAGAATGTCCAGGTGGCATTCTTGGGCAGCACAAGCCCATGCCCTTTCATCCCAGGGACGGCTACTATGCATACTTCAGAGCACACGTACTGGTAGAGACAATTATTTATGCTTTTGGAGTGACAGTCCCATGAGCGATAAGGATGTTCCTTAAACTAAAATCAGATATTTCGCAGCTCTGCTGTTTGACGTTAAAGCAATCAGAGCTGAAGATCCTCGGCGGCACTGACATGCAGCTCATTTTTTGCCAGTTGAATTCTTTGGTTCGGAACTTCAAAAGGGGGCGACAATGGCTGCAAACATGAACGTATCAGCTGCAGTAAATGCCACACTTGTGAATGTCGATGTCTTAATCATTGGGGCGGGAGCCGCTGGTTTGACGGCAGCCTATGATCTCAAACGAAGTTCCGACAACAGTTTTCGGATCTTGGAAGCATCCTCGGTCATCGGAGGACGGCTCAAGAAGATGCCAACAGGTTTCGCAGACTTTCCAATCGATATTGGCGGTGAATGGATTCATGATGAACCAACGGTGCTTGAAAACATCACCGGTGTAGAGGTTGAAGTCGAAACTATACCTTATGTCGACAGTTATGTTGAGTGGGAGGATGGAGAATGGTACTCGTACGGATACTATACTGAGGACTACAAGGTATGCTAGCGCTAGCGATCCAGCCAGATCATGCATTTCCCCTGCTCATTGTATTGTTTTGCAGTTTGTCAACTACACGTGGTTTGACTTGTTCAATGACTACATGGCTCCCGACGTCCTCGATCACGTGGACTTTGACTGTCAAGTGGAATTTATCGATTGGTCCACAATTCCAGTCGAAGTGAGCTGTTCTGATGGCCTCCGGTATTTCACTGCCAATCATGTCATTGTCACTGTACCGATGTCGGTACTCCAGAGTGATGACATTTATTTTGAGCCAGCTCTTCCCGTAGAGACGCAGGTGGCCATTGACAAGTATGACTTCATGTCTGGTATGAAGGTGTTCATGAAATATGGGGAAAGGTTCTACCGGGAGGCCTTTGAGTTTGCTTCCGACTATCCGTACGATGAAGATTGGATCAATGGCAGTTCTCGCTACTTTTACTCGGCTACGTTTGGTCAAGACACTGATCTCAACATACTCGGAAGTTTTTCAGTTGGTGACACATACGAGCCATTTGTCAATCTCACGAATGAACAGATCTTTGCCTCCATCAATACTCAACTCGACTCTGTTTACGAAGGACAAGCGTCAGAATACTTTGTAGAGGGATATGTTCAAGACTGGAACGACCAACCCTATATCCGTGGCTCGTATACTCACTTGGACGAGACTCCGGACGAGTGGGATGCAATCGAAGAACTGCGGTTGCCGCTGGAGGATCGGATTTTCTTTGCAGGAGAAGCGATACCTCCCTACACCTACCAATTTGGAAATGTCCATGGCGCAGCCTACTCTGGAAGAGCCGCTGCTGAGAAGATCATGGATCTCCTTGGCCAAGCAGATGCCGATTTGGACGCGTCAATCAGCCGAACAAAATCTGGTGAGGCTTTGGAGCACAGCGAGAAAACCCATGGCAGTCCATCACTAAGTTCGTCCTCGAGAAGAACGTTTGTCAGCCATCCCGTGGTAAGCTTTTGCTTGACCATGTTTGCCTCATACTTGGTGTGAAAAGCATCTTGTTTGTGTGACATGCCGCTGCGATAACGGTAGCATGTATAGCCAGACCCCATTTACCTTGAACCTGCATTCCATCTTTGCCCCTTCCTAGTTCTCGACTGTTTCCCTCCCTCTGAGGCTGCTTGGATCTACACCTCTACCGTAGCTAGTCAAGTCGCCCTTCCAGATTCTATAGATTCCAGATGATTGGCTCTTCTCCATGTGTAAAGCGGGGCATTCGGCATTCTAACCGTTCTGCGCAGCTTACAAGGCTCTCAACTTTTAGCTTTCGATCGAGTCCGAGGCAGGGCACTGACCGAACAAGCATCCTTCAGTTCAAAGCGGTGCTTGATCTAAACCTGATAATATGCATCTCTGGTACCGGTACGGTGCAAAAGGAGACTGTTTTGCCCTACCAATAAAGTAATGGTACTGTACAACTAAGGGACTCTACCTTATGTCTACATGATGTTTCACTATGGATCAAACGCCGCTGCGGATCATCATTCTCCTCTTTTTCAACATTCACTTTAGTACAATTAGAGAAACGTGGGTTATTACCCTTGCGGGGAGCAAAAAAAAGTGCATCCCAAACCCACCATTGACCAAAGCCCCTCGCAACGGACAATCCAACCCTATGGAGAAATCTAAGCGCCGGTGAGAGGGTTTGTTTTGTCCTGTTTCTAGAATCCCTCGAAGGCAACTTGCTCGGATGCACTGAGAGGAGGTTTCTTGGATGGAGGTTCGTTCTCAAGATGCCGATAGGAATCAAAATGTGTGGCGTCCAAGGGATCCTTGATTCTCGGAACCCACGGAGTTGGCCATTGTTTGCGCAGCAGCTTGTCGACATCAATAATATTAAACCACATGTGATCACGAATATCCATATCACCACGAGCCAGACAACCCAGACGATTGGACTGCCGTCGCACAATCAACCTTTGAATAAGGTCTTGTGCCAGTTCGTGCACCAATCCACCGGGAGGGAAGGAATACTTAACCTGGACAATACGCTTGAAGAGACTCACTTGATCAGTTCCATACGAATAGAACGGAGACCGGCCCACCACCATCTCGTAGATCAACACGCCGTAAGCCCAGTAATCAACACCCTTGTCGTGGCCTTTCGAAAGGATAATCTCCGGAGCCAGGTACTCGGGAGTTCCACACAGAGTGTACGTCTTATCCACCACTACTTTCGCGAATCCAAGATCCACTAACACGCAGTATCCCTTTTGATCAATCAAGATATTTTCGGGCTTGAGATCACGGTAGCAAATGTTACGGCAATGAAGATGGGCCAGCGATTCCAGGATGCAGGCGGCGTAGAACCTTGCGTTACCATTTGGAATACCGTCGCGTGTTTCAGTATGGATGACGGAAAACAGCTCTCCTCCTTGCACCAACTCAATCAACATGTAAAGATTGCGATCGTCTTGGAAGGTTGAGACCAAGTTGACAACGAATGGATGGTCTAGCGAAGCCATAATATTCTTCTCTCGAATCACACCATCGACCTGGTGATGTCCCATAATTTCTCGCTTGCTCAATTGTTTTAGAGCGTAGGGAGTTCCAGTACGCTTATGACTAACCAACCAGACCTTTCCAAATGTACCGACACCAAGAATCCTGAACTTTACCAGATCCTTGAATCGAATCGACTTGTTGAGTTTCGTCGAAGTTGGATTGACTGGCTTTCCAAGACGTGAGATGTTTCCGATGACGCTTTCAATGTCGCGTTTGGCGAGAACACCGCAAGTGGTTTCCACCTGCACAGTAATAGTTTGCGGGCTGAGAAAGCCATCAGGTTCTTTTAAGAACTTGTCGCCAAAGTAGTCCGCATCCTTCAGGTTGTTAATGACCCCGTCAGAATTGACCACGGACACTTTGCCCGAACGAATAATGTACAAGTTTTGTACCAGGGGCTTTCCCTGTTCAGCTAGGACAGTTCCAGGTTGGAATGTCGTTTCCACAATGAGGTCTGTGAGCCTTGACATTTCGAATGGCTGGAACCTGGAGTTGGAGAAGATGGGGACTCCCAAGAGTGTTCTCTTCTTCATGGCGCGGTCAATGGCACCTTGTAGCGGTCCCAGGACCTGATCGAAAGTGTCACGCGACAGACACAGACAAGTACATTGACTAGTGGCCGTAACGTGTGCCACACGTGGATCTCCGGTGAGCAAAGCCCGCTCTCCAAAGAAGTCTCCGGGTCCTAATGGCTGTTCAATGTAGGTACTGTCACCGAATCCAATTTCATGGACCTTTGCTGTACCTTCACGAATGATGTAGAAGACTTCCCCCACATCGCCCTTATTGATGATCCTCTCTCCTTCTGGGAAACTAGCGGAAGTGAGTGCGTCGGAAATGCGGATTAGATCTCGATTATCCAATTCCGAGAGGAAAGGGACCTTGCGCAGCACATCATGGACATCTTTCTGCTGAGCATTCGTGTTGTTGGCGAGCATATAACGAAATGTTTTCTGATCGACTTTCCACAATCTGCAGGCAGTGTTGGCAAGACAAGTAGCGGCACGTGGGCAGTTGTAGAGCAAGGCAAGCTCTCCAAAAGATCCTCCACGTCCACAAGATCCTACATGCTGGTTGTCAACGGCGAAACTGACTTGCCCCTCGTCTACCACATAGAAGAAATCTCCAGTTTCTCCTTGTTTGATGATGATGGTGCCCGCTGGGACAGTGTCCATGAGCATGGCGTCAATCAAGAGACGCCTTTCTTTGGATGACAGCGATGCGAAAATGAAATTGTCTTCCAAAGCGGCGTCGATAAACTGAATGGCTGCATCTGATTTTGGATAGCGAGGCGTTTGAAAGCCTTCATGCATGTCCAGAGGTTGAGCAAAGATATTCTGACCACGTTGTGCTCGGACACGACTGTGCATGTTGATATTCTTCTCTCGTTCCACCGCTCCATCTTGGTCTTGTCCTTGGGAGTTCTGTGGTTGTTTGTTGCATGGTTAGTAGTGGTAATAGTAATAGTGATAGTAGTAGTCATGGTGTAGTACGGTAGTGGGGTGTGAGAGAGACAGAAAGAGTCAAAAAGGCAGAGAGACGACACAAACACAAACACCCGAGACACCAACAACACATCCAGGAAAAGCCAAAAGATTCACCCGATGACTCGTGGTGGAAGCGTCTAGTACCAGGCAGCACGTAGATCCTACGGGGCGCTGGGTCATCTCCTCACCTTGGATTTCGAACTAGCTGATCTCTTCGACTTGGAGTCGGAAGACGGAGACGTTGCGGACTTTGATACGCCATCTCCTCTGGAACTTTTCTTGGACTTGGTGCCCTTTTTCTGAAAAAAGTTCTTCATGGTCGCTCACTATCTATTGGGGACGAGCGATCGATGATGGATTGATGAGAGACAACCATCCACCAATCCAACAATTCCGAACGCTTGGTGTAGCGCTGCTGTCAATTGGTTGCTGCTGGTGCGGAATGAAGCTCGGTGAGGGACTGGATGGTGGTGGGACGCGCTCGGAGCGAGAACGCCACCCCAGTCGGGTTGTCCAACCGGAAGTCATTTTTTATTCTAATTGATGGACAAAACTTGCGGGCGGGCAGTGTCCAGCCAGACAGCGGCGATTAAACTACTAATGCTTTGAATGATGTCAATAATGCTTCTTGCTTTGCCGGATAAGCAGCGACCAAAGTTCGTACCAGTGCGTGCCGCACATGTGGCTGTGTGACCTTGCCAAGTGCTCTTTTGCAATACCATGATGTACTTGCAGACTAACAAATAAGCTTTATTGGGCTCTGCTGCTGTGGTTTTCTTAGTCTGCGGTTGCGTTTTTGGTGCTCCCCTTGCTTGTCTTTGCCTCAATCAACCTGGAGATATCGCATCTCCTAAGGGGTAATGGTGATCGACAGCAGGGGGCTCCCTGCGACACTGGTTGGTCGAGGCCTAGTTACCTCCTTCTGGTTATGGTACGGGGGCAACATGAATATCACGACCCATTTACACATTTGCCAACTCTGGGAAAAGATGCTCCAGTCCGGGTGGTATCGTACAATACCGGGTGCGACCAGGTTGCTTTGTGCGAGGTATCACTCTAGAGTTTCAATCACACTGTGCAACCACCTGAATCACTCTTGTTCGCAATCATTCCTCGTGCGCTTTCAAAAAAGAAGGTCCTTCAACTTCAGGCATGAGCAGGCAGCTTCTCTATTGTCTGAGCTTCTCTAGCCACCGCTTTGTCACTTCCAGACAAACATCTCAACATCTGTCTATCCATTACTTCGTCGCAAGCACTGATTTCTGGGCGCGTCAGACATCTCGTGATCAGCAATAGTTATCCGATCTGTCCTTCTCGAGGGTCGGGGGCAGAGCTACCGGTGCCGGTACCGGTACCTGGTACGGTACCACTGGGCTTCCGGTAGACGAATGCGACGGGAAAATTTGTTCTTTACAGCTTCGAAGGCTTAAGTTTTGAGACGTGGATACTTCTACTGTACTTGCAGAAGGCAACAAAGCACCAGCAAAGGAGATGAAGAATCCCATGTATTGTTTCATTTCCTGCTCTAGCTAGCTAGTGGCACCAACTTGTATTGTGAACCTGGAAAAGCATTGGATTTAGTTTTGTCGTGATCAAACTCTGAAATGCGGTGGAACTTCGTCTGGTACCAGGTATTATGGGGCGTCAAGCTTCGATGGCTTCCAAAAAGAGACACTACTAGCTAGTAGTATCACCAGTAAGTTCTGGATCTATCTACTAGCTAGCCAGCAATGCTTTCCATTTGCTCATTCTACGGGCAGTATGCATTATGCATGAGCAGCTTGGGTGGGAGGGCAAGTGATGAGGCTGAAAGGAAGCCTTGGAGAGGCTGTTCTGTGGCAGCACACGTACAGTACATGTATGTATTTGCTAATGCTTCTAGTACCGATATTTCATTAAATCTTTTCTCCCTGTTTGCCTCAGTCGTACCTTCGTGTGACTGCCTCCAAGAAAACAACATCACAACGAGACGAGACGGGAGATCGAGGATATTCTAGCTAGCTGGCTAGTAGTCGTTTCATCCCCATCAGGCAGGAATTGTACACTCATAAAAGGCGGAGACATACTGTTGCATGTGATTAGCCGTCTACCATGGCCCCCAAGGGAAAGAATAAAGGAAAGGACAAGAAGGGAAAGAAAAAGTCGGTCAAGGTAGCTAGTAGCAAAGAACCAAAAGCCGAGGACGGAAAGGCATCTTCTGATAAGAAGGACCCCAACAACAACAAAAATGAGAAAGGCGCCAAGGGAGGCAAGAATGCCCCGCAAGAGGGAGCCCAAGGAGGCAGGAAAGGACGTCGCCGCGTGGATGAACCTCCCGAAGAACAAGTTTACGTGAGCCCATTTTCCGACGATCCTGATGATGGATTTGGCTTTGGCGACGATCATGCAGCCGATCTGGCTGATCTGGAACACATGTTGAATGTCGAAGTCGACGAAGATTTCTTTGTGGAACCACGCTATTTCCACACATTACGCCGTGTCATTAACGTATTGGGAATCCATGTGACAGATGATGGCAAAGAAGATACTGGCAAGTCTGTCTTGGAACGGAATCCTGCGTATCAAAATCTACAAAAACAAGCCAAAGTGGTCGAGGAGGCCATTGAACACATGTCTCGGGTCTATTGTAATGCCTTGAATAGATCCGTTATTCAAGTTGGGAGGATTGCACGTGAGTTTGAGGATGCCATTGAAAAGGTAGAATCCTTGAGGCGACAATTGAGAGTCATCCAGGACACTATTGGGGCCAGAAGTATCGCAAAGAGTCAAAAGTCGGGAGGGAACGCTGGTAATGAGGACGAAGATGCAGCTGGAAATGAGGTGATGGACATGACTCCTGCCACACATATGAGTCTGAGAGAGCTGTGGATGAAAAAGTTGGAATCTGAGGCGCTTCTCTCGTTGATTGCCAAAGTCAATGTGGTTCGTGAAGCTCCCGGACGATTCGACCTCCTCACATCCACCGTGGGCAATCATCACACCTGTCGAATTGGTGCCGCCACTCAATGCTTGACGAATGCCCTGGAAACCATGTTTTCCGATGAGATTAGCCAAGTGGAAGCGCTGAGCTCAATTCTTGAGAATCTAATGCTGCGAAAATCAACGTGCGAAGAAATCGTCTGGGAAACATTGGAAGACATTCTATACTTGAGGACATCAAATGGTCCCGTTCTCAAACTCATGATAACCACCAATTCCCAGCAGCAGCAACAGCAACAGCAGTCACAGCAGAAGTTGGCTGGAAATGTGACTGGAGGCACCGGGGCTGCGGACGACGCCACTGTCATCAAAGACAATAACAACAAGGACAGCAACAACAACAACAATAATGAAAATGCAGCCAACGTGCCCACAGTCTTCAGAAAGATCTACAACCCGTTTCATAAGAACTATCAACTTTTGTGTGTGGAAGAAACGGACGATGTCAGCATCGACAGTCAGGCTTCGGGTGCTTCAGATGATGAAGACTGGGAGGAGGACAACCAAAACAGGAAGGACGCAACACACAAACGCGCCACCAGCGAGACCAGTTTCGGAAGTCATTCTGTAGATGACGAGGGAAACAAGAAGCACACCAAGAGAATGATGATTCCCAAAGTTATCATCGAGTCCGAATTGGATCTCACAAAGGATGAGTTGAGGTGTTTTGACAAGGATACCAAGGCCGTCTCCAAGCATAGTATGTTACATGAAAACATGCAGATGCAAAAGCGGTATTTGCCTCGCTATACGGACCCGGTGCTTTCTGTGCGGATCATGGTGGATTGCCTCCTCCAATTTGGGCAGGGGCAGCTGGCAAAAGCGGAAAAGGTCCTCATGCCCAATGTGGAAACCGAGATCAAGAATATCATCCATCGAGAACAAGCTCGGACATACTACCGACTCGATCGACGCAGACCAACCACCCGGACCATTCGGGCGTCGGTAAAAGATGTAAACGAGCTCAAAGACTTTCGTAGACACTTCACAGCGGTCCTGAGCTCACTTGGATGCATCATGATGAGATACACACATTTTGCGCAGTGTGCACGAACAAGAATTGTAAGTATGGTTGCACCCGGAAGGCACTCGCTCGTCAGACACCGCGTTTCCGTTTTCCGATGCTGATCAACTTTGCTTGCGTTTTGGTGTCCCCCAATCACTGCAGATGGCTGATGAGGAGCTGCGTGCCAGCTTCCAAAACCCATCGCAATTCTTGCAACCAGTTTTGGACAAGGCATACAGTGTGATGCAGTCAGAGTTGAAAAATTTCTTGAGGGCGTGTCTTCAGGTCACAGAAGGAAGAAAGATAGTAGCACCCCCAACCGAGCTCGAAAACAAGAACGAGACCAAGATTTTCTCGTTTGGTGTTCTGGAGGGGGAAGAGGAGGAAGAGAAAGAAGCCGAGGAAGAGGCCAAACCTGATTCCAAACAAGATAAGAAACAAGATGCTAAACAGCAGCAGCAGCAGCCCGAACCTGAACCCGAGCCAAAACCAGAAGAAGAGACCGCGGCGACGGAATCACCCAAGTTTTCCGAGATGCCCGCCAGCACTTTCGTTTCCACTGTCTTGTTTCCCATGACGAACACCAAACCTCAAGTGCAGCATGCTTTGGTCTTCCGAAGAAGCATGGACAGATTCACAAAACTTAATGAAGAGAGAGCTGATCAATTGGCACGCGCTTCTGGAGAAACAGCACATGCTATGAGAAGAAAGTCTGAACGTGAAGAACTGGCAATTGAGTTCCTTGACAGAGCCATCCAAAACGACGTGAATCCAGTGGTGCAGCAGAACGCAGTGAGAGGCACGATTGAGACTTCTGAGTTGCAGGACGCTTTTGAACCACCAGGTAAGTGCAGGAACGTGGGCCACAGCCATGACGACGCCATCATCACTGTAGAGTACGGCTCACTTGTCGCTGCTTTCTTGATTTCTAGACGAGGCCAACGTTTACGCACGAGCGGACAAAATCCAACCCTTGGATGTGGCCATGGTGGAGGCTTGTGAGGGAATGCTCGACCACACCGAGCCGCTTTTCATGGCCATTCATCGTCTCCCTCCTGGTGGTGAAATGTACGAGACCAACGTATCCGTTTTGGACTTTCTTCACCAGAACATGCTTCGAGTAGTCGAAGACAAGGTGAAGGAGATCTGCGACGAGACGACCGCCGACGAGTTGCTTGAGGGTTACGGGGACAACAAAGGGAAGCTTTCGGCTGCAATTGGGAAACGCGATGCCTTCATTGGGCTCTTGAAAGCGTACGAATTCGACATGAATCTACTAGACGCCGCACAGCTCGGCACCGATGGCGCCAATGTTGATTCCAATGAAAAAGAATCCCCGGAGAAAGCAAACAATCCCCTGGCTCGTGGAGATGGATTGCCGGAAAAGGGCGTGGAGCGAGAGGAGGCCATCATGAAACAAGAAATCGACCTTCTGGGGGACTATGGATATCTGGACTTCTTGCCCGATAGACAGGAATCGCTTGATTATGACGTTATCACAAAGGGTGAACTCAAGAAAGCCACATGCCTCTCTCACAGGTTGGTCCCCGCCTTGTTTTCGTTTGATTCTGGTAATGTTCGTCATCTCAATCCAAATCTTCTGCAATTCTGCTTCCAGTCTATTGAAGGTCTCCAGCATCCTCGAGCAGAGGCTGAAAAGCAGAGTGAAGGGAAGCAACAAGCTTCTCGAAGGTACGAGCGAACTGCACGACAAAATCAAGCAGATCAAGAAAATCGGAATTAGGATGGCCAAATTCTGCCACGTCGAAGTGCTGCTGCAGATGTAAGTTGCGTTGCCAAAGCATTCCTGTTTCACTTGATGTGCCTGCGGTCCAGTGCTCATATCACTGGCCTCTCCATCTCCCAACAGAATTTACAAGATGGCCCCTGTTTGCAATAGCACAACACTCTGTGCCCCCGACGCGGTGCGTATCCCCACGGCCGTCAATGCCTTGGCGGAATACATGACACAAACGATGGACTACTTGCGTGAATCGACAAGCAATGCCATGGCCGCGTACACGTTCTCCAATGTGGGGCAGTACCTTCCAGCATGTTTAATGTCAACGGTGCGAGTGATTGCCCATGGTGAAGGAATCATTGACAGGGCCCCGTTGACAATGCAGGGCATTGAATCTCTCGACAGGAGCGCTGCTGTGCTCTACAAAGACTTGAAGGCTGCAACAGGCTTCCAAAGCCAGTTCTTCAACATTGAACTTACGGCACTTGCATTCGAACGAGCCGCAACCTTCACTGCCTTGATGGAAATGTCCAAAGAAGAGTTGGTGCAATACTACAGCAAGCAGTCAGAGTCGGAAGAGTTCTCGGATGACGACTTTGAGCTGATGTTCAGGATGGATGGACCAAGGCGCCGGGGTGATGATAAGCAATTCAAGAGGCTCAAAGCTGCAATCAAGCAGAACAGGAAAGAAAAGGAGGAGAAGAAGAAGGAGGCTGGCTTGGCAGCCACAACAGCTACCACGTAACTGTCCCAATTCAGCAATGCGATTGTCAAATCACGGTCGCCTGTAGTGCCATCGTAGCGTATGCCAGACGTGGTTGAAACGAGACCTGGGGTATCAAGCATCTTTGCTCGTTGGAATACCGTAGGCGATGAATCTAGCCTGAACATGGATTCTTGAAAACATCCATGTGCTTTTTGACTTGTCGGTCACCATCCAAAACTATGATTTCATAGCGCTGTCGTCGATCGTTCCTACTTCCTCGTAACTGTTTTGTTTCGGGTGGATGCACTCGCACGAGCACATGGCCGGATGTGGATTGGAACATGCTCGATAGGGTCGGGCCCAGTTCATCCAGCCGTTCTTGGAAAATGTCGGTTGCAAAGATCTGTCTTGTCTTATTGTTGCTCTTTTTCGAATTGTACAACATTTCCATGCTCTTTTTGGGTGGCTGGTCCGACGACCATCCCTGCAGTATCATAGTAGGCGGATCCAAGTACTTGATGTAGTCTTCCGAGACGCCGTGTCCATGATGATTGAGGGTTGCTACATCCACTTTTCCCGCAGCTCGTGCCGTTGGCCCAATGGTATCAAAGATGACGTTTCCCTCGTCGTCTCGCACAATCTCCTGATCTGCTCCTTCGTAGTACCGAAAGCACCCGTATTGAATAACAAAAGCGGCACTCATGGTGTTTTCATTGCCGTGTCCATTTCCCCGACTCAGTAGTTTGTCCGTTGGTATCTGTTGCACTTTGCCGTCTGCCCCCAACACGTCCACGCCACTCTTGATCACTTGAATTTTGAAGTCCAATGTCTCCTTGTTTTTGCGTGGTGCAATTTGGGACGTGCTACCCACTTGGAATTGTTGAAACGGGATATGACTGTCCTTGGCAAAATGCAGATAATTGTCAATGGTTTTGTCGTGGAGCGATTTCAAGTCGACCGGTACCGTGTAGCCGCGATCGATAATGGTATTAATGGGTAACCTGCTGTGCAACTCGGGAATGCCGGACATCACATAACCATGCTGGGGATCTGTTTTTCGTCGCTGTCCATCATCGTTTCCATCTCCAATGTGATCGGAGTGAAAATGGGTCACCAACAAATAATCCAAAACGGGCTCGTGAAACCCGTTGGGCCAAAATTCCTTCATGTAGTCAACTATCCACTCAACCGGAGTTTTGGAGTCATTGGGAAACGGGGGTTTCAGTTGGAGTTTGTCAAAGGGATGTCCCATTTTGGACCAATCCTTGAGGGAAAACTCCACATTGACATCACCCGCATCAATGAGCATGGTGGTTCCATCGGGCATGACACAAAAGGTAGAAACACTGCTACCCACTTGGAGATGATGAATGTCCAAGAGCCCAGGTTTCCAAGCAGCCGCATGTTGAATGCTCTCTTGTTGCTGTGTCTGGCTGCTCTTTTGCGTCACAGTTTGAGGATTGGGGGTGATGTTGTGTTTGGCCCGTCGTACATTACGCCGAAACGCGGAACACAAGATAATCAGGGCAAGTGCCAAGGTTCCAGCCAAGCGACGTCGCAGCGATACCTTCGAAAAGAATCTTTGAAGCTGAATGCCAATGGAATCATTCTTTCCTCGTTGTTTGCTAAGATCATCAGACGTTACAGTCGTCATTGTTGGAGCAGTCCAAGGATACCTATAATAGTAGTGACAAAATTTGATGGAAGCACATTGAGGTTTCGGCGGCCTATCTTCTCGCTATTGTACATTGAGCTCAAGGACGAAAGAAAGAAAAGATTTTCACGCGAGGTTCCACAAAAGATACACGCGAGAGGACAGCCAGCCGGAGGCTAGTGCCCTCAACTTGCATTTTTCTAAAGGCCAAGGAAGGGTTCTGGACCGGTAGCCTTAACCTTGCAAGGGAAACCACACCATATGTACCGGGAGCCTTAACCTTGCAAGGGAAACCGCACCATATGTACGCGAGGAGACAGAAAAACGGACAGAAAACCGGTAGTCTTAACCTTGCAAGGGAAACCGCACCATATGTACGCGACACACACGGGGGTTAAATTACTCATTTAGCTTAACAAGCTATTGGCCACGGAGTGACTTTATTGACGCGGGCAAGAGGTGGGGGAGATCCCCACCTAGCTGAGTCGTCATCTACTTGTTTGCCCAATCAACATGACCTCATCCACTGGCCCAACGTGGAGCCAGCACCAAGTAGACAGATGCCCTGGGTAGGGGGTGAGCACATTGATAGGGAACCTGCAGCGCAAAACCTGGGTTACAGTGGCTTACACAGGATTTTGTCGGTATTGAAACCATTATCACCAAAGGGGCCGTGAGGACCAGTGCAATACACGGCTCTTAGCCTTATTCGCGACTCGATCCTAGATAGGGTTTGAGTTCGACTCATGACTGAGTCTCTCGTGAATAGTCATTTGAGACAGGGTTCTCAATGACCGCGCTAGTCATACTAGGTTGATGATGAAACATCGCTCTAGATATTTAGCCAGCGTGGAGTACTTCCACGCTACTAGATCCAGGCTAGACGAATCTTCCACGCGTTCCGGTTTGGGATCGTGGAGAGACGTAGGATTACTACCGCAACCTACTCTATCACACTTTATAGTCTCCCGCGTCTAGTAGTAGCGTGGAAGTACTCTCCGCTGGCTAAATATCTAGAGCGTATGTTTCACATCGAACCTAGTATGACTAGCGCGGGTCATTGAGAACCCTGTCTCAATGACTTTTCACGAGAGACTCAGTCATGAGTCGAACTCAAACCCTATCTAGGATCGAGATCCGAATAAGTAAGGAGCTGTGTATTGCATTCGCCCCCTGACAAGGTCACAGAAGGCGCGAAAGCAGTCGGACAAGGAGACATATGATTTAAAGGTGCGGGCACTCTCATGAGATTTGGATGTAGACATGTGCTCGCACGATGGCAATCCTAAAGGGATTAGGCCTTGTATGGGTGTATATACCTTATGTTCCAAGTCTGGTAGACTGGCCGCGGTTGGCGGTAGATGTTGGAGCCGTACAGTGCCATTGTCATTGACTCGGGCTATAGTGTAAGGACCTTGTACTTTTGCTGACGTACTTGCGGTGCGTATACTGTTGAATCATCACGGTATCTGACTTGTATTGATGAGGACACGCGTCGCGTTTTCCCTGTCGTTGTTTGTTGGATTAGTCGTGGCGACGTTCCTAATGTACTTCCAGTTGGCTTCGAACCGGACGTTGTGATCGCGTCACGATTGAACACGAGCTGTGTCGGCTTTGCCGCAAGGTGGTATGGTCGTGGCATTCATTGCAAAGCGAACCGCCGTGAGGACTCCATCCCAGGAATCCATTCACGGAGTCGTCTTGGCACTTGATTTTTGAACAGCGATCAAGTTACGTATGGTTTGATGACACGCTCGACCATAGAGTTGGTTGAGGGTTCGCGTGTGATGAACTTGCGACCAAGTCCATATTCTCCCGGAGGTCTTCTCGACCTCTGCGCGGAACTCCGTCCTCTATCCATGATACCTCAGCAGGCCATGGAACCGAGTAAGCCACGTTTGTTCTAGACGATGGCTACTTCGTCTGCTTCTTGGAGCAGATCTCGTCAATCTCGAACCAATCCGGTTAGGATCATCATTGTCAAGCATGAGTGTGCAGGATTCTTTTTCTTAGGATCCCCGACGTGTAAGGGCCTATCAGGTCATACATAGTCTTTCCCAAGGATCTCCTCGCAAGTCTTGGAGGCATCAATCCCAGCTTACGCGTCTTGGGTTTGTTCATCTGGCAGCTTTGGCAACGCTGACATACGGCCTGCACGTCTTGCGCAGTCCTTTCCAGGTGTAGTGTTGGCTGATGGTTAGTTTTGTGCGAGTCTCGCCAGGATGCATACAGCACACCATGGTACCATTACACTAGCTTCTTCTGCATAGTTTTGGTACGACGATTTTTATCGTCCTTAACTACTAATCTTAGACTTATCCCCTCTGGGAAAGATTCTTCTTTTAGTCGTTTGCTTGTCCCTGAGGAGTTCTTGATATCGTTGTGCTCTTTCTGACGATGTTCGATCTCGGGGAAGAGAGAGGGAACTATGCTAGGAAGTCTCTTCATCTGCAGCCATGAGCTCAGCGTCTCGCTGGGTCCATCTGTTCTGAAGAACCGTCGTTGTTGGAGATGTTAGTCTCGACAACGCATCATAACGACGTGTTCTGTTCGCCTTGATGTACGTAGTTCAGGGCCGTATTCTTCCAGAATAAGGCGCCATCGCTTACCGATCGGTATTGAATTCTTACATGTAAGATTCTGTGGTCCGTATGTACAACGATTTTCTGTCTAGAAATGTTACGGAACTTTTAGAGTTTTACGATACTGAGAAGTTCTTCTTTCGGTAACTGTGTAAGTTCTGAGCAGGGTTGACTTTCTGCTGTAGAACGCGTATAGTTTTCCTTCTGGAAATTACTTCACCTAGTTGGTATCCTTGCATCGTGTGGATAACGAATGTTCGTTGAAGTCAGGGTAGCGAGCAAGGTTTCTTTGCTGATGATCTTTTCATTGGCTAAAGGCCTTGTCGTGTTCGCTTCCCATTCCACTTCGTTGTTTTGGAAGTCAACAAGCGAGTGGGCCAGTACATTGATCGTCTAATCCACATGTCTCGATAGTAGTTCACTAGTCCAATGATCTACGGATTTTTCTTGTTGGTAGGAGGAGCGATTTTCTGATCGCGTCTATTCTTGGTTATAGGTTGGATCTTCTCAGTAATCCAGTAACCAATAGGTATTCAAGTTCTCTCTTGAAGAAGGACTTGGTAGCAATGATCTTAAGTCCGGCTTCTCGAACCTTCGGAGACTTCATCCAACTTTTCAACTGATCTGCTAGATCGCCGTTAGTTAGGATGAGTGTATCATCAATTATGCACGGAGCTATTCTAGGTCGTGATTATTTTTCCATCTTCTCTTGGAGATGTCGGGACTATTACAAGGCCCATTGGCAACCTTGGTACTCGTACTTTCCCACACGGAGTACAGTATGCAGAGGTTGCTTCGAGTGAGGTGACAGTCGATGTGATAGTATCCCATGTTCAGGTCTAGACTAGTTAGCGTATTGAATCACTCTAGATTCAAGAGCATGTCGTATTTTGGGATAGGATAAGGCTTCCGCTTTATCCTTTTGTTCAGTTCCCGGGAATCAGAGATGAATCTACAGATCATCTTCTTGGGAATGATGAAGTTGGTGCCGCCCACTCGAACGGTTACCTTCTTGAGTACCTCCTGCCTCGCAGAGACGTTAACCTCATTTAAGAGTGTTGGTATGTAACCCGTGGAATAGGATAAACCCTGGCATGATAGGGTTTAGCATCAGGAGAAGTTCTACTTCGTAGTCGTCCATCTGCCACTTTCTAAAGTCATCGAATAGGTCAGAGTACTTCGTCAGTAAGGATAAGTGTTCCTTCTCTTCCGTGTTAACTGATCTTGACTTGCAAACCTGCCTTAAGTCAGCTTGTTCGTATTTTCGCATCAAGAATCTTCTTGAGACGATCTGCACTGTCATCACAGCGTAGGATCAGGAATGAAGATTCTCTTCTTCATGTGTCGCTTCTTTCATAGAATGATGCGCCGTCCCATTCCACTGACATGGTAGTGAAATCGAACTTGAATCCTTAGATCGGAGAGAATGTCTCGACCTATGATATGTCATACGCCCCAAGCTCTTTGGTGACGTGTAAATCCCACTCGATAATTATCTATCTTCGTGGAATTCAGGAATCATAAATGCACCTTTGCACTTGTGCTGGTGTTTAATTCTCCTGCGGGGTAGTCCACATCGTTTTGACGCCCCCAAGATCTTCATGCGTAATTTCTTAGCATGAGTTGAGCATCAAGGTTCCGGATGCTCCTGTATCAGTAAGCAACGGAGTGTAACGGGTTTTGGTTTCCTTTTTCTCGCTTGTTAAATCTAACATAGACGATGGTTTGAGGTTCTCTTGTCTTGCGACGTTTACGAGGTGGTTGGCCACGGACAGTTAACGATGCTAAATAGATCATCAGAGTCTAGTTGAGCAGCTTCTAGGCAATCATCTAATTTGCCGTAGGTTCATCAGTGCAAACAATTCTTGTTTACTAGTTAGTGAGATATCTTCATCACTTTTATGAGAAATCGGAACATAGTTCCGTTGATCATCATCCTGGCCTAATTCAGATAGAGATTTCTCCATCCAAGTGATTGAAATTGATGGAGGGAGTTGTCCTCATTGTCAGGATCTTCTGATTTGCGCTTGGCAACATGGTTGCGAAGTTTGCAAGTGTTGCACGAGTATCGTCGATCTCGTTTTCTTCGTCATTGTCGACGAGAGGAAGAATGGTTTTCACGCAACTGTTTTCGAAGTTGCGGAACGCATGTTTCTTGAGCCATCTTCATGGTGAAGGTAGTTGAGGGTAGCTGAAAGCTATTGTGTTTGTTAACAAAATGCACTAGCTAAAAGCTAGTGTAAAGATCTTTCGAGTGTTTTGAGTTTGAGAGAATGAAAGTTAGAGAGAGATTAGAGCTATGAAAACTAATCAACGGAGAGATCATCATCAAGGGATCGTAGATCTGGCTTCC